ACTTTCCTGGAGCCCTGTGCCGTTAGCCCGGGACGGCAGACTAGTTAACGGAATCAGCAACTTTTTACCCCATGTCGAGGGAGCAACAACCCCAAGGCACAGGCAGAGGACACCGGCAGACGGATCTCTTAGAGATCTTCACGCGTACGAGATGAGACAGTGTACATCAGCCGGAATCCAACATGGCGACTACACGTGCGACCGCCTCGAGCTCAGCGTCCTCAAAGAAGGCCCCTAAGTCACTGCAAATGCCCGTGAGTACCACAAACAGACTCCCTAGCCCTCCTCCCTCACCCATCTGCACCCCCCTCCTCCATGACGAGGACTCACTTACCGACCCGGTATCCGGCGGTGTAGGCCCCAGGCGGGAAGACTCGAATGATTGGCGGGCCTGCATCTCATTATTGCCTACGAAAAAGGACTTAGACAGTATGGCCACGAAAATAGTGGATGCCTTACGTCTAGAACTCCATGAGGTCCGACAGCATCTATCCATGCTGGAGGGTCGGGTAGACGTTGTGGAAACGACCACGGCCTCTGTGCAGGACCGGGTGGAGGCCTTAGAAGCGGGTCAGGCCGCACATCAGAGGCATATCACAGCCACATATCTACAGGTGGATGACAGTGAAAACCGGAAACCGCCTGAACAATTTGAGACTTAAGGGGATCCCAGAGGCAACATCAGGCCCAGACTTGCGCTCCACGGTCACAGCAGTCCTTAACCATTATTTAGACAAGCCGCCCACTGCAGAGGTGGAATTGGATGGGGTGCATACGGCCCAGGGATCTCGTACATTACCTTCTGGGATGCCACGTAACGTACTCTGCAGAGTCCATTTTTACTACCTGAAAGAGGAGATACTGCGCCAGGCCTGGAACAAGGGCCCATTGGACTTCGACGGGGCCAGGATCCAGATTATGCCGGATCTTTCACGCCACACTCTGCGTATGCGGCGCCCCCTGAGACTGGCGCTGGATGTGGTACGTACAGCAGGATTCCACCTGATTGTTTCCAGAGAGAACAGGAGCTTCCATCTCCATGACCCACAGCAATTACCGGACCTATTCACGTTTCTGGAAGTAGAGGCGGTACCCGTTCCAAACTGGCTCGACTTCTCCATGGATCGTCCTGTTCCGGACCCATCCACCCCAAGGCTTGCAAGGAGGTCGAGGCCTCGCCAGCGCTCTTTCCTGCGTGGCACTCCCTCCAGAAGCAGGGAGGCAAGGGAACTCTGAGCTTACCATATGATGAATCTACCCTCTACCGCCCGTATAACTTGTGTGAATCAGTTTGGAGCGTCCTTCATCCCCTTCTTTTCCTGTACTGACAGGGCGCCCTCTGGCCCTCGTTGCCTCTCCACTTATGCCGATTGAGACAGACTCGCAAGTATGGTGCCGGACTCCATGCTACATCATGTGGGGTTGGGATCCCATATGAAATCCTGGATCATGACCCTCTACACGACCCCGTCTGCAGCGGTTAGGGTTAGTCATCTGGGCGCGACAGAGATTGAGCTTGGCATACCCCCTATTGATCCTACCCAAGGCTAGAGGAGGGGTAGGCCTCCCAGACATTCGGCTTTACCATAGGGCGACCCATCTCTCTAGATTACTTGACTGGTGCTGCCATGGCAGTAAGAGACAGTGGGTGGGGATGGACGTGCTCAAATCTGAGGTACCACTTACAGGCCTAGCGTGGCTCTCCTCTCCACTGGCCCCCAGAGTTGACTACTCATCCTCTAATTGCCCCGACATTGACTACCGCAAGGGCGACGCTACAGTCCACGGAACTATCCCCACACCGCTCTCCCATGACTCCGATATTGGGTGACCCCGACTTCCCCCCGGGGCTGGGCAGGGGCCCGCTACGACGCTTGTTGGTAATTGGAAAATTCCGGCTCCGCGATTTTATTGTGGACGGTATGTGGATGTCCCTAGACGCCATCCGGAATTTGCTGGATCCCCCTCTTGAAGTGTGGAGTGCATACCAGCTTCGACATTTTCTGGTTTCAGTGCCTGGGGTGGGAGGGTTGTCGCGCAGCCTCACACCCTTCGAGACTATGTGCTATACGGGCACACCGACTAGACACGCCTTGTCTTGGTTGTACGGACAGTTGTGCTCACCTCCTGAGTCGTTTTGCCCCCCTTTTGTGGAGGGGTGGGAATCTGAGTTGGGTAGGTCCTTTACTGAGCATCAGAGGACAGCGATCTTGACATTAGCCCATAGATCATCCATGGCCTGCAAATTCCAGGAACAGGGGTATAAAAAACTAACCCGTTGGTATAGAGTCCCTCATGTCCTACATAAAATCGATCCCTCGATTCCGTCGCTCTGCTAGAGGTGCAATCAGGCACCGGGCAGAATGCTCCATATTTTCTGGGCTTGTGCTGACATACGCCCTTTCTGGAAAGCGGTGAGGACGATAGTTAATCAGCTAGTGATCGAGGCCCTACCAGATGACCCGAGGGTATTTCTCCTACACCAGACATCCACCAAAATCAAAACGATACAAAAAGTATCTGACTGTGCACATGCTGAACGCGGCCAGGTCTTGCATTCCCTTGTTGTGGAGACAGCCTAACCCCCCCCCCACGGTAAGACTCTGGCTAGGTATCATGGATGACATATGCCGTATTGTTGCGAAATGAGGAGGAACGCTTCAGGTCACATTTCACACATTCCGCTGCGTACGTGGATGAGACGGGAGAGGTTCCAGCAACACAGCGGAGTGACGGGTGAGGAAGACGATTCCCGATTAGGGTATACGACGGCCACTGAGATGTGGCTTGCGCACTGTCTGTCTCCTTTTTTCCCTCTCTCTTTTATACCCTTGTGACGGACCCCCGTACTCACGATGAGTATGTTCGCCGATGTCTTCTTCCTTGCTCAGGAGATATTGGAACCAGCTGATCTTTAGCTCTCAGTTTCCCCAGTCACTGGTCGAGATACGAGTGAAGGGTGAAACAAACTCTGCTTTATTGAGCAACTGCACAAACCTTAAGGCCCCGTTCACACCTTTCCGTTTTGTCGGGCGTTCAACGCTCTATGAACGCTCTACAAAACGTACAACCATGAAAATCCCATTGTTTTCTATGGGTCTGGTTCACACCTTTCCGTATTTCCGCCCATCTGAACGCCCTACAAAACGGCTGACGCCCAAACAAGTACATGTACTTCTTTGGGCCGTTTTGGAGGGCGTTTGCCATTGGGATACAGCCAAGCAGCCTTCAGAATCGCGCGACGGTCGCGCGATTTTTTTTACCGCGAATCGCGGTAAAAAAACCGCGTGACGGTCGCGCGAGACAGACGTGCATACGTAAAACGCCTAGGTGTGAACCCAGTGTTATACTGCAAGTGATAAGATCAGATTATAATCCCATCACATCCACCCTCCCCTCCCAGACAATTGGTCTGCTCAACACCACAGGGTTTCCCCTGCTAACGAGCTCCAGACAGCCATAGCAGGAGCCTGGCCAGAATGTCATTGTTCTGAGCTCCTTCAGAGTACAAAGGGAGATAACGAGGGTGGTGCTAATATTCTTTTCATAACCAGGTCACACAGCATAACATAATTAAACATAACTCAACATCAATACACATTTAACTCATAAACTGATCACCATGTCGTCACAACCCTCTCTTTCTCCGACCTCCTTCCTTTTGTTCTGCAGCTCGGTGATGAGATACAAGACGAGAGTAACCACGCAATAGTGGGCCGCCCCACGCTCTCTTAAAGAGTTCCCCATTACATATATGCAAAGGTGGCAGTTCAGGGGAGCGGGGCGTGCCCCACTTTCGTATTTATGTTGTTCGGTTATGATGCCAAATTGACTTATTTAGTTGACTATGTTCTGAAATTGCAGTGTGCATAACTTTACTCATTCCGTACAGGCGGATTATTTTCCGGCTCAGCCGTAACCCGGTGGGACGGGGCTGATCCACTTGGGCGGCCTGCAGGAGTAGGAATGTAATTCCAGTTTGATGGGCCCCTCCGGGGAGGGGAAGCGTGAATATTCCTTTCAGATTGACATGTGACTTCATCTGGATATGAGACGAATTGCAATAAACTTATATGTTCCAGACGATGTTAAGCTTGATGCCAGTAGATTATGTTAGTGACTATAACAGTATTGGAATAACTTTTTCTGTCACTGTACAATACACTGATGTCTGCTATGTTGTGAAACAACAAACAAAGTATATATATGAAAAAAAAAACAGTGACAAAAACACTGCACACCTATCACAGTGTTAGTTTTTATTATTAACTTTAGCCCTTTTAATTAAAACATTTTGCAACATTGTATTGTATTAAACATAAACATCTTCTCTTACATACTTACACCAACAAATGTTTAACTCAACTGAAGAAAAAAACAGGAGGAAAGAAAAAAAACAAAAAAACGGGAGCAACCTATCAGAAGCCCAGATGACATTTTTAAAACTGCACTGCCAAAGTGACACTTAAATCTGGTTGGCTGATTGGTAGTCGCGTCCCTTTCCTCCATTTTTTAATAACATGTCTCACAGTCACTACTGAACATAACAGGGTTACTAAAACATATTTCCTTATGGGATTTATTCAATAAGGCACAATGCAGCCAATCAGAATTCACATTTCCTGACTGCAGTAAACTGAAATCTGACTGGCTGCTGTCAGTTATCACACTACACAGGTCCTCTTTGCATTGTGTTATCAGATATGCCCATATAGGTTATACAGTGTAAGAAAATAGGATGTATATTAGTCTCAGTCTAAACATCAAGGTGACATGTGATAGGCTCAGGTAGTAGTGTGTGTGTGGTGCTGCTGCTCATCTCTAACCATTGCTGGGTTCCGCTCTGCACAGATGATGGGTGACCACACTGACAAGCTGATGTTGGATAGCCGGGATATAGAGGAGATGCTCTCACGAGTCATAGCACAGGTGTGCAGTCATTCTCGGTGCCACTATCAAAAGCTATATCCTCAGCAGGAAAAAATGGCAGATCCAATCATCTACTCTTTCTTAATGTGCCTAAACAGCATCAGGGCGACCATCATGGCTGCAAACTGCAAGGGAAACACAGGAGACATGATTCATGAACTCATAAGACAATACACAGGGAACAATTCTACAGCACAGTATGTAGATCATTAACAGTAGGCCCCGCCCCTGCAGAGCTTACAGCGTAATATCTTATCTCAGTCATGGATACACAAACACTCAATGGGTTCACACCTCGGCGTATCGAATATGCACGTTTGTAGCGCATTTTTACCACGATTCGCTGTAAAAAACGTGCGTTTCCGAGGGCTACCTGACTGTATTCCAATGGATACGCGCGGCAAATAAGCCCCAAAGAAGCTCCTGTACTTCTTTGGGCGTAGGGCGTTTTGCAGCGTGTTCCTACGTGCTGTAAAACGCCCAGGTGGGAACCATGCCCATAGGAAATCATTGGTTTTCACATGTTGAGCGTTTTATAGAGCGTAGGAACGCGCTGAAAAACGCCAAGGTGTGAACCAGGCCTAAAAACCAGGTTCCAAGAGCAAATCAGAGCAGTTACAGACCGGATCAAAACTGCGTCCAATGTATTCCAATGGTATTTTAGGCTCTAGTTCACACCGCAGCATTCAGTTCCAGAGCATGTGGGAAAACTGCAGCATGCCCTGTTTTACCTGCTCTGGAACGCATGCAAACGCCCTGGAACGCACTAAAAGCCCATTCAAAACTTTTTTTAAAAAAAAGATTTTTTTTTACCAAAAACGGCCTGGAACGCATCACAAACGGGCCAATTCACACCATATGCAGTTGTGATGCAGTCCGTTTATTTTGACTGCTGCAGTCAAAATACATCACAATGCTTTCCTATGGGCTTTCTTGTGCTTAATTCACACCATTGCAGTCTGTTCAGATGAAGTCAGAAAAAGTACTGCTTGTCCTATTTTACCTGCATCGAAACGCATCAAAACACAGAGCAAACCGGAATGCCACGGAACGCATACACAAAAAAAAAAGACACAGAATTGAGTCTTTGTAGTGTGGTGGGAAAGTGAAGAGATGGAATTTGTGGATGCAGATGATTTCATCCAATATGTGGGGACTGTCCCCTGCGGTACGACAGCAAACACCCCCAATATAAGAATAATTACCAAAAGATAACAAAGTGGAGGGAGAGTGCTGAAAAGTTGCACCCAGATTTTGGGGCTATGACCCGGGTACAGAAACAGCAATGTGGTGAGTTCACTTTTTTTTCACGGGCCTTCAGCAGCGGGTGCACCCAGACGTCGCCTGTGAAGGCGTTGTCGGAGAATGGCTATAGTCAACACTGGCACCATGCCAGCCAACAAAGAAAGCATGTCTGATCTCCAAAACAAACGTAGGAAATGCTCTGGCAGGAAGAGGAAGTGACCTACTTGTCTAATTAGCATTTTCTAGTGCAGAAAAAAACGCATCAAAACGTATAGCAGTGCAACTGCGCAGACGCAAACAGTTGTGATGCAGTTTCTGGTGTGAACTGGGCCTTAATAAACCAACATAATTCCTCGAATGGCTAGAAACACACCAGCACATAAATGTAATTCAAGTGTAGTCTGTGTTATTCTAAACTAGTTGGAGCATTACCTGATTGTATTCATGGTCCTTGTGGTAATGACTAAATGGGGGGAAAACCAATTCATCCATTTGTTTATTCACCTGAATCTTTTTCATATTTCACAGGGAATCGGGCAATTTATGAATAGTAAGTTTAGATCTTTGTGTTGTCTGCAGAGTAGATAAATATACAGCACGTATGCATTTGAACTAAAACAGATTTGACTGTGTTTTTTCACATCAATTCCCTCATCTCTGTTCCCTAGCCAGTCACTCAGAAGCTGTATATGGCCCTCAACTATCTTTAAAGTGACCCCTGTGAGCAGCAAAGATTTCTCTATCATCCATTAAAGGAGAACTATGAGGTGAGTGCTTTTCCCTCACCTCATAGTTCTAGCCGACCTGTGACAATGACACTGTCACAGGTCGGCACACATACTGCCGTTCGCTCACCTCTTGATCCTGTCACGGCACTCTGCCGTGACAGGGAAGGGGCTGGATTCCCCCCTCCCCGCTCCGATCCGCCAACGCTGACTGGAGGAACGGACGGGGGATGGGGCAGGTACAGCTTGCTCTGCCTCTAGATAGGCAGAGCCAGCTGTCACTCATGCAGCTGGGCGGATCCAGACATACGGTAATTGTCGGGATCCACTTCAGCTGCGGTGTCTCAGTATACCGCGAGTTGTAGCTCGCGGTATACTGAGCTTAGGGTGACAGGAGGACGCTAGTTTGTGTCCTCCCGTTACCCTAAAGAGAACTATGGGGAAAAGACTTAACCCCATAGTTCTCCTTTAAGCGACACCACTCTGAGGAATTCTGAGATGTAGGGTTATGCTGCTGCCTGTAGGAGTTTCTCCTACAGGCAGCAGCATAACCCTATGTCTCAGAATTCTTCAGAGCTGTTTTCTCCTGGAGGCAGCAGCATAACCCTACGTCTCAGAATTCTTCAGAGCTGTGTCCCCCAATGGACCCTGAGAAAAGGATTTTACGGTAAGAACAAAATCCTATTATTTTCACTTGCAGTGCCAGTTCCAGTGGGCGACATGTGAAATCTTTGCTGCCTTTGTGCTACATGTGCCAATGTTATCCAACACTTCCGAGTGTTTCTGATAGTGTACCCTCACTTCCTACTGGTCGCTGTGCCCTGCAGTTACATAATGGCTGGCAGGGAGGAACTACAGATCCCAGCGTGGGACATGCAAACCCGGAAGTGTTGGATAGCAGTGGCACATGTAGCACGAAGAGACCACCCACTGGATACGTAAGTATTCAACATGACGTTTTAAAAGGCACTGCAAGTAAAATGATCTTACCTGCTGAGAGAAGGTGTTCAGAGCTATTTAAGACAGTAAACATTTTACTCACCATTCACCGGAAAGGTTAATATGCAACATTCTATTTTACGGGTAGCTGCTGCACAGAATGTATTATATGGCCAATGGGGTCACATTTAGGGGGTTATTCACAAAGCTGCCGAAGGCAGCCTAGTGAATGAACCAGCCGAAGTAAAGTGAGAAAAACTACGTTCGGCAATTCACTCCGGCTCAGTACGGCTGATTTCAGCCGTACATCGGCTGCCTTCAGGCTGCACATCGGTCAACCGAACATGCTCTAAATGTTCAAGTGAGCCGAAGCGCAGAAGGACTTCGACTCAGCCGATCCAACATCTGAAGCTCCAGCAGCTCATTCGCCGCCGTTCGCCCCTATTCTCAATAGCCGTAAATAGCCGAATGCCACAGAGCGACATTTGGCTCGGCTATTCTGCTCGGTACCTTCGGCTCGGCTGAGCCGCTCAGCCGCCTTTGGCTGCTGTACTGGCTATAATGAATAGCCCATACAGCAGCCCTTCGGTTTGACTGAACCGAAAGGCTCCGGTGGCCAAAGAGAGCCGAAGGATCAGCCGAAGCTACGCTGGATCCTTTGGCTCCTTCGTGAATAACCCTGTTAATGTTGCCCATCATGAAGGTGCTCAATATCCCGTACTGAATAGTGACTTATAGCAAAGCAATAGTTCCCTGACTTATTTTATTTCATTACCTATAGGTATAAAAGGCAAAAATGGTTTTTAGTTTTGCCATAATACATTGCGGAGTTTTCCTTTCATTTTCTGTCAAATTTTGGATTTTCCATCACTGTAAGTCCCAGTGACAATGGTTACCAGTACAAACAGAGAAGCTGAATCTCTCCAACGGGGCACAGAGAGCAATTCATACCTAGAAGAAAATTTGGGGAAAAAGAATTGGCTAACAGGAAATCCCCATAAAATGACCCCTAAAATAAACTTTAAACCTAAATGAATCCCTTGTTCAGTGTACTCATCTGTGCCCGGAGAAGCTGCACCAGATCCTCACTACCCTGTGCCAGAAAGATACCGGCATCAAATGTGTCAGCTTTTACTGGTCTCTAAGCTGCACTGTATAAGTTGTCTGCCATGTCACAGCCTATTCATCTATATGGCTGTCCATGGATGCAAGAAAAGTCAAGAATTACAACCAATTCACACAAGAATTTCATACCACCTTAGTAGACGCAAAGATCACAATGCTTCTACTTCCATGTTTAACAAGATGCCTAGGATTTATAATGCTTTAAAAGTGGGTGCTACTTACCTCCAGACCACAGATTACAAGAGCCACTCCTCCGACAATCTTTCCATTTTGACCCAGGAAGTACTCAAAGGCTAATAAGCAACCCTGGGAGGTAAAAGGAGAAATGACTATCTACAAGGAGCAAGGCCCATGTTGACTACAGGACAGGATGGACACACACAAATGCTACAATGGGCATTATTTCTGGATCCAAGGTTAGTGCATGCATTCATTTACCTTTATCTGGGAGCTGATGCTGGACTCCTGACAGGGCCTCAGTTTGGCGCAGCAGATTGGAGGAAACTCATTATTATTCCTGTAGTAGGTGGAGTTAATAAAATCTTTATATCCATTAAATCCACAGCACTTCATCTGGAAGACAGTCGATATATATTGACTAGCATGACATTACCACTATAAATGATCAAAACAAAAATCTATTACACTGCATACACATGTAATGTTTACCATTGAACCACTGGATGCTTCCCTATACACTTTTCTTACACTCTATACATGGGACACTATACCTCCAATATGACTCACCCACCCATAATTCTAGTATACTCTATACATCAAACACTACATCTCCAATATGACTTGGCCACGGGATATTTCCCTATAATTCTATTATACTCTATTCATAGAACACTATGCCTCCAATATGACTTGGCAATGGGACATTTCCATAACACAAATCTATTACACTCTATACATAGAACACTACACCTCCGATATGACCCATCCACTGGATGTTTCCCTGTACACTGAGTGGCCTGATTATTATGACCACCTGACGTTTGTAGGCAAATTAGCTATAATTTCGCGCTGAAGTTGCCAGAGGGCCAGACCATTATAAATAGGGAAGCAGGTTGTTTACCACGACAGTAGAAGTGATTTTCTTCTGAAGATACGGGGAAACAACGCGATTTAACAGCCTTTGTACGTGGGATGATTGTTGGCGCTCGGAGCCATGGAGCGAGTATCAGCAAAACAGCAGAATTTGTTAAATGTTCAAGAGCAGCTGTTGTTAAAGTGTTTAAAGACTGGACTGTCAGCCGAAAATCTGGGTCTGAACGTGCGAATTGTGGCCGTCAGCGACTAGTCAATGTTAGGGCAGAACGGAGAGTGGCAAGACTGGTACAAGACAACAGAAGGGCAACAGTGCCGTGTCAGATTCCTCGCATCACCTTTCACCATCTCGTGGAGTCTCGAGGCGGCCCAACGAAGTACTGATGGGGTGGTCATAATAATCTGGCCACTCAGTGTATATCTCTAATACACTCTATACATAGAACACTACATTTCCAATATGACTTGGCCACTGGATTTTTCCATAATCCAATTCCATTACACTCCGTAGGATGCCACAGCAACCTGTTTTCTAATTGATGATTGTGCATTGGTATTTTGCCCCAGTAGCTGCTGCTGCTGATGAAACCTGTAATGATGTAGAACGAGTAAACAGTGCACTTGTTAAAGGAGAACTATGGGGTTCTATCTTTTTTTTATGAATGCATTCCTTAGCCTAAATAAGTAAATAATGTAATTTACTGTAATTAGCCAAAATGCACAGGAAGGCTGTAAAACCTTATTTAAGGTGGTGGGCGGGGCTAAGCGCCGCAATGAGAAGACATCACGACGTATCTGACGGGATCCTCCCCACTGATGATTGACAGTGATTCTTGAGAGCTTAGAGATATTTACTTATTTAGCCTAAGGAATGCATTCATAAAAAAAAGATAGAACCCCATAGTTCTCCTTTAAGCTCGAGGAAAGACTAGAAAATCTTCTTCTCTGTTATCAAGCATCATTACAGAAGAATCTCTGCAAGAGCGGAATAACTTTACTGTCATTAACCAACAAAGACATGTTACATTTTAGGAGGCCAGATTACAAGTAGAAAACAGATGATCACAACTGCATGAAACTGCACCCTGCTACTTGCTCCAAGTACTCCGAGGGGTCCTCTAGATTACCTAAGGCCCCGCTGACATCAATCATCTTTCAGTACTCACTGATTAGCACATGCAAAAGCAAAGAAAGCTGTCAAGAAAAAAAGCAGCTATTAGGGCACAAGCAGCCCAAGGTCAAGCACATGCAGGCCCACATGTCACCCAGGCCAAAGCACAAGCTGCCCAGACTCGTGCACATGCTGAGGTGGAAGCAAGAGCTGCACAGGCCCAGGGAGAAAACCCTTTAGAAGGAAAGGGAGGAAGGAGCCACCATAGCTGAACTATGAGTCTAGTAAAAGCTGCTGAGGTAGAAGAAGTCCATTGTCCTATTTTGATTGTGTCTTATGACCCCACAAGACTGACTTTGCAATTGTTTCTAAGCAAGAACAGTGAAATGACAGTTATACAGGAAGCCTCAAATCGTGTGCACCAGCCCAGGGCACATTCACTGGCAGAAGTTGCTTAACCAATCAATTACAAAGGTCAGTCAAATTGAACACTTCTTTCCCTCACACCCCATGTAGTGACTTATGTACCATCACAGACCCTCTTAAGTCCAGATCACCAATTATCACAGGACTAATCCCATGCTTCCTGAGACCCACACCAGTAGAACCTTGGATGCCAAGCTTTCACCTGGATAGAACCCATCAGCTTCTCCATTCTCTCCTCCAATCCCTAAACATCAGTTATCAGATACTGACATGTACAGTCAAAGTGAAGGAGCCCCTGTCACAATAAGGCCCGAAAGAACATACACACCTTGCCAGGTATATGACCCATAAAGGACTTATTACCTAACTCATGAAATCTGATGATCACTAAGAGAACTTCAGAAGCTTGTGGTCCATGTTCCACGACTTGATGACAACTTTGGCTGGATGAAAGAATACGATGCATAGATTTGCTCACCTCTGGTAGTGATTTTCAATGGAAGACATCATTGATATGACCCCTCACCTGCAACAGCGCCTTGCTGCAGTGCTGAACAATGTTGTGTATCCACTTATGTCTGCAACACATGCATGCACAATAAAACCTATGAGACTTGACTCTTTTACCTCCTTCATCGTTGAATTCCATACTGTAGTCAGTTCATTGTTCTGACCGTAATCATTCCGCAGGTATTTCACAGCCGCATTCCCAAGATAGTCAATAAAGATCTTAGACTGAAAAATATAAATAAGAAATGGTCGATTAATAAAATGCTTTCCTTTAGTGGAGTGTTGTTATCAAGCCCTAATCTCTAATCTGCTGCACAACTTCACGCATTGGTGTTCTGTTCTCCCAGATGACCTGCAGTGCAAGTTCTTAGGTGGGCCTTTTAGTTGTAAAGATTGAGAAATGCTGACAGGTCCACTTTAAGATGATAGGTTGTACGGTTATACATCTGCAAAGTTTTGCAGCAAAAAGCATTGAGTTGTAACATCAGCCAATGCAAATAGCCCTTAAACAACATGCAATGCTAACAGTCCCTGGAGTGGTTGTTTTGTGTCTCAGGAGAGAACGTATAGTATACATGAATGTAAAGATATGTCTTTCTTTAGGTGTTACCCCAAAGATCTACAGGCTGGTCTTCATGTAGTACTAATGCATTAAAAAAAAACAAGTAACAATTAAATTACATCCTTGACATTCATTACAATGAACAGATATGACAAAGGAATATTAAAGGAGAACTACTGGGCCAGGGCTTTTACCCATAGTTCTCCTAAGGGTAACGGGAGGACACAAACTAGTGTCCTCCCGTCACCCACAGCTCAGTATACCAGCGAGCTACAGCTCGCGGTATACTGAGACGTCGCAGCCAGAACGGATCCCAGTTTCATTGTCACAGGTCGGCTCAGATTATGAGTGAAAATCACTCGCCTCATAATTCTCCTTTAAGCAAAATTTCCATTCAGTTTTAAAAATATGCACTCAAACGATTTCTTGTAGCTCCAGGGAAATGGTCAAATATATTGCTGAAATACATTTATTGTTTTACCTGCCAAAGGATTTGTAATTCTGTGCATGATAGTGACAGTCCTGTGATATGAACCCCGCTGATAGTCAGTACGATGCTACTTTGTTTTAGGATTACATCTTCCTGGTCTCTGCTCACTGGACAGAGGGGATGATGATGATTCCCTGTCCAATAAGTAGGTTTGAAGGTGGAGAGGTGACACAAGAAGCTGAACGGCTGAACCAGGAAGATGATTTGCTTAAAGTGACATTAAATGCAAAAAATTTTTTCCCTCCCCCAAAGTTAATTAAAACACTTACCTTAAATGATGTCTCTTAATCCGATCTTCTTTCCTGTAGTTTTCAGCCTTCTCAACAGCGCTGCTGCGGGTCTCCGATCTAGCGCTGACTCCTCTGTCCTTGCTGGTACTTCCGATCCCACGGTGTCTGCATGCAGGGGCACGCTGTCCATAGACTTACCTTGTGTCTCTCCTCTTCTCCCGGCCAAAAATCCGAACTGAGCATGCGCCCGCCCCAAGATGCTTTGCGGCCGCCCGAGAATTTCCAGATTTTCGGACGGGAGCGCGCGGCGAAGACAGGGTAAGTTTAAACTGCTTTTAAAGAGTTTTTTTTTTTACTTTTTGCATATATTGTCTGCTTGCTAGCAGTAGATATATGCAAAAAAACGTGAGGGTTTAGAAATCCTTTAATCGGGAATTACCCAGATAGCAAGGATAACTTGCCACAAACTTGTGGCAGGGTTAAATTGTAATTCTTTCTAACTTACTGCACACATTCCTGGCACGTTGTAGACTTGCAGAACACTTGCAGCACAAGTTCTAGTTGACACTTTTTGAATTTGTAGCAAATTTGCTTGAAAAGAGAAAAGTTGCAGTGGCAAGTCTACAGCAAGAGTCCTGCAGGTCTTAGCAAGAGCTCTGCAAGTGTTACAGCACTTTTGCAAAGCACGTTGATCTGGAGACTTGCAATGCATACTTGCTGTAATTGTGCAACAAAATTGTGAAGCTTGGCGAGTCTAGCAATAGTTTAACAAGTCATTTTTCAAACTTGCAGCTCAATTGCTTGCTATGTGGGTACATGTGTCACTTGCCTATAGTCAAGTGTGTCTGCATGGCATGTTGGCATGTCACCACTAGGAAGTTAGGTTTTGGGAAAGTTAGGTATGACAATCACCATTGTTATCTGGTAAAAACAGAAGCGAGGAATCAAGAGGAACCGGTGCATCTTGTGGCCCTTTTTTATTTTATTATTCTATCCTGACTTATTTCTCTCTTTGTTGTGTATATTGTGTAAAATGTTAGACTGCACGTGTGAGGGGTAGAATTCTTACCAGGGAAGAGAATGCCAACACTACAACAGCTCCTACCATTTCCACGATAAAAATAATGAGGACAATGATGAAAAACTGGAAGAAAGGAGAGACCAACGTCAGTCATTAATGCACTCAGCTATAATTTTATATCAAACACAATTGTCCAGAGTAGGAAAAAGGAAGTTGAGAGAAATAGAATTATAGAAGACGGTATAGAAGGGTTATATGAGGAAGGAGGGAACATACCATAAACAAAGTAGCTATTAAGATTATAGTAAGGAATAATAAAAAAAAAAAGAAAAAGATGGGTCTATGGTAAGAAAATAAAAAATGGGAGCCTTAAATGGTATATTAGAAGGTCGGTTGTTTCTAATATCCCAATAATGTTCTCATTATTACTTTTCCTACCATATAACCTCTTCTTCCTTTTTTCCTATTAGTCCTTAATAATTCCTTAATATCCTATTATTCCTTAAATAAACCTTAATAGCTCGTCCTCTTAATTGGTTTATGGAGGGGCTGGGTGGTGTAAATGGAGATATCCTAGAGAGGCCTTAAAAGGATCAATAGGAGTCTAAGGACTAACAGTGCGTTGTAGGGGAGAGGCCATGAATAGTAGGGATTAGAGGGAGCAGCTATGAGTTGTAGGGGTTAGAGAGATCGGCTATTAGTAATAGGGGTTATCTGGACTGGCTATGAGTAGTAGGGGTTAGAAAGAGCGGCTATAAGTAGTAGGGGCTAGAAGGGGCAGCTATGATTAGTAGGGGATAGAAGAAGCGGCTATGAGTAGTAGGGGTTAGAATGAGTGGCTATAAGTTGTGGGAGTTAGAGGGAGCGGCTATGAGTAGTAGGGGTTAGAATGAGTGGCTATAAGTTGTGGGAGTTAGAGGGAGCGTCTATTAGTAATAGGGGTAAGAGGGACTGGCTATAAGTAATAGGGGTTAGATGGATCGACTATGAATAGTAGGGGTTAGATGGATCAGCTATAAATAGTCGGGGTTAGATGAATCGGCTATGAGTAGTAGGGGTTAGAATGAGTGGCTATAAGTTGTGGGGGTTAGATGGACTGGCTATGAGTAGTAGGGGTTAGATGGATCAGTTATAAATAGTAGGGGTTAGATGGATCGGCTATGAGTAGTAGGGGTTAGAAGGAGAAGCTATGACTAGTAGAGGATAGTGGCTATGAGTAGTAGGGATTTGAAGGAACGGCTATAAGTGGTAGGGGTTAGGAGGAGTGGCTATAAGTTGCGGGGGTTAGAGGGAGCGGCTATTGGTAATAGGGGTTAGATGGACTGGCTATGAATAGTAGGGGTTAGATAGATCGGCTATGAGTAGTAAGGGTTAGAAGGAGCAGCTAAGACTAGTAGGTGAAAGAAGAAGTGGCTATGAGTAGTAGGGATTAGAAGGAACGGCTATGAGTGGTAGGGGTCAGACATGCGCACCAGCAAAACATTTGCTTCCTTTCGTTTTGATTCGCAATCTGCGTTATTTCATTTTTTGGAAATCGGGTCCGAAAGTCAATTCGTTTCGGAATTTGGATTCGGACGAAATTAGTTAGCGTTAATCTGTACGAACTTTCGTTTCCATTTCTTTTCGTTTCGTTTGTTGCAGCAAAGTGACATTTAACAGGAAAAAAAAGTTTTTTTTTGTTCTCAAATGTCACTTTGCTGCAAAGAAATTTCCTCCAACAAATGAAATTTCGTACAGACTACCGCTAACGAATTTCGGAATTGGAAATTCGGATTCGTTTGCATTCGTTATATCTGCAATTCAGAATTCTGATACATCAGAATCTCAGAATTTCCGAAATTTTGATTCGGAACGAAACGAATCGCACATGTCTAGTAGGGGTTATGAGTAGTGGGAGTTATAGGTTGGGGTTATTAGAAGTACTAAGAGGAGTAACACATTAAGAATAGGGGGGCATAGGAAGGGGCTATGATTAGTAATGGTAGGGGTTATAGGGAGGGTTTTGGAAGGAGGAGTTATAGGTAGGGGGTATAAAGTATATAAGGAATGGTTACAAGGACTAAAAGGAGTTAGGGTGAGGATATATAAAAAGTAAATGTAGGAGCATTAGGCGGAGGTTATAAGAAGTAATAGGAGGGGGCATATGGAGGGGGGTGTATAATCAACAGAAGAAGTTATAGGGACTGGTTATATTTAGCTACAGGAGTTGTATAGAGTAATAAATAGGATAACAGTAAAGATGATCTAAATACGGTATGTTACCCACAATCATTAACATGCACCGGCTCTCCTTCACAGCTCCGTAGCAGCCAAGAAAACCCATCACCATGAGGAATCCTCCTACTGCTATGCACAGGTAACCCACATTCACCAGCTGCATGAGCTGTGGAGCCGCCGAGACAAGAATCTTCAGGAAAGACCCTCCGTCCACCTTCACCCAGATGCCGACACCCAGCACAGTAACGCCACCTACCTGCATAGACAGGAGAGAAGTGTTATCTCTATGTCATCTCTTGCACATACACATAGACATAAGGCTGTGCTTGCCATGCTTGTGGTCAATTACTTCTTCACATTTGCATCGCACTGTGTTTTTTATGGTTTTAGGTTAGTTTTAGGACAAAATCATAGTTTTTCTAATATATAAAATCATTATTTTACAAATAAACGGTGCAGTCATGACACTGATGTCACAAAGAGAGCAGAAGCTCTTTGCTTTTAGACTGTCTCTCTCTAATTGAGAGCACACTTTTTTTCCTGCAAAAACACATATACTATATTGCGCTGACATGCATTTCATGTAAGATTGCCTTTGACTATAGCCCGTACAGCTCCCGAAGCTGGCCGAGCGGCTCAGCCGAGCGGAAGGCATATGCTTCGGCTCGACTGGGCCGAAGTGACATCCGAGGTGGGGCTGTCAGGCCCTGAAAAGCCCTGCGACTAACACAGCTGGGAGGAGCCAGCCGTGATCTCACAGCTGGCTCTACCCAGTTGCATTGGTAGATCAGCGTTCCCTGGGGACGCTGAACTGTCATTAAACAATGACAACTGGGCAGAGCCGGCCATGACGTCACAGCCTGCTCCGTCCAGTTGTTATTCATTGGCCGGGACCTGCTAGAAGACTCTAGCAGGTCCCGGCTAATAGGAAACAGTTGGGCGGAGCTAGCTGTCACTTGTAAATTCAAGTGCTCTAGTGGCAGTTGGACCATGGGCAAGACTGTGTGGGCAGATTTCGGCAGATTTAATTGAACCCACTTTCTAAGTTAATTTGGAGTAAGTAAATATGGGATTAGTGCTACTTGCTTAATAAAAATTACAGGCTGACACTGGAAGTGTCTATACCAGTGGCGGAACTACCACCATAGCGACCGATGCGGTCGTTATGGGGCCCGTGACAGAGGGTGGGCCCGGATCCCCGCTTCTCTCCCCCGCTTGTATGGGCTGAGGCAGCGGGGATCGAATACAAATGGCCGGCAGGGGAGGGGGAGGCGGAGGAGCGAGCCGCTCGATCACGATGATCGAGCATGAGAGAGCGGCAGGCGGGGAGGAGAGAGCAGCCGCTGTCATCTTGTAAGTTTCCGGATGACAGCGGCTCTGTGCATGGCCGAGCGGAGGATCGGTAAGTACCATTGATATTTACCGATCCTCCATGTGTAGCACAAACACTGGAGTGATCGTCTGATCACTCCAGTGTATGTAAATAACTGGGGACACATACCGGTAGTATACACACATATATTATGCCATTAAAGATGAACATCATTTTTTTTAGGAAGGAAAAGCAACTCATTTTTGCGACCTGGAAAATAAAAAGTAAGCAGATAATTAAATTCAACATCCTGATGTATGATGTCAGTCCCCCACAATGAGATGCCACCTGAGGCTACAGCCTCAGGCTGCTTCATTATGGGGACACCCCTGATTAGGACAGCAGAAAGTATGTCATGAAAGTGAGAATGGAACTCTTGAAAGAGACCCAATAAGACCGTTCCTGGGAGGCACAGGTGCTGCGTGTGATTGCGTGTAGCAGCCTGTTCTTTTCTATGGAAGGACGTGGTCATACGCTGTCATACGCACACCCGAACTGCACATCCATGCGGATCTGGCTGGATGGGTCCTGTCTGCGTCCAAGCACGGACATCCGGACCCACACGGATGTGCAGTTCGGGTGTGCGTATGACAGCATATGACCACGTACTTCCCTAGGAAAGAACACGCAGCACTTGTGCCTCCCAGGAACGGCACGATCTGGGTGTGCATGCCGCACGAACGTGTATGCCCCCAGTTAGCCTTCTGGGAATGAGGCCTAATGACTGGTAAGATGCAATATGTAACAATTTTTGTTCTTGAGTTCAGATACCCTTTATGCGTGTCCCGGGTGTCGTGCGGTGTAGAGCAGGTGTGAACCTAGCCTCAATGTGAAAACAAATATGACCGATTCCGCCATCCATGCTAAACAGCCTGCTGGGCTATTGTATTCTGGCAGTGGTGGGTGTGCCACTGCCATAATACCTGACTAGTGATGCAGCTGATAGGCCCGAAAATATTCCGATCGGTTCCTTTGATTTTCTGATCGAACGAAGTCAGGTGGAAGGTCGTCAACAGGGCCACCAACTGCGTCAATTTAGGCCAGTTCGTCAAGTAATTTGCACAGTGTAAGGCAAGGTTTACAGTCACAGGTTTTTGTTTTTTTTTACTTTAGGGAAAAAAAGATGTAACCAATATAAATAAAAGCTGACTGTGCAGTAGTCCTCCCCCGGCAGTGCCATATGGTTTGTCCCAACCCCTATCACTTTATCATATGGTTTATCCCAACCCCTATCACTTTATCTGGCCAGCTTGGCGTGCATGTAAATGTGGAGAAAAATATAAATAAAGGCAGAGTGTTAACAATAGAAGTCACAAGACTTTCTGAGAATTATATAATTTTGGGGGGGTTTACGTCATTTTCAGGCCTAAAATGTGGAATATAACATGGGTGCAAAAATTGAAAAAAGGGCCTCAGTCATGAAGGGGTTAATCGGCTCCTCCTAAATTTGCCCTCTATGTATGCATGTGAGATAAGGACCTTAGATTGTAAGCTCCTTGAGTGTAGGGACTGATGTAAATGTGGAACTATGTAAAGTGCTGCGTAAATTGTCGGCGCTATATAAACACCTGTAGTAATAATAATAATAATAATAAGTGGGATAGTAATAAGATTGGGGTACTTACTGGACAATTGGTGGCTCTGATGCCTCTTGTACGTGGTTCTCTTGCAGGTTGGACCTCACTGGAGTCTGTGACTCACTCTGATTTCTCCTGGAGACTGATCTGTACTGAACACCTGAGTCAAACACTCCTGGGAACTCTCTGCTGGGAGGAACAGTGTGTATACATGAGAGTGTATATGAAAAACTCAGCTCTGCACAGTGCATGATTTCCAGGCACCATGTTAAAGGAGAAATGGTCACATTTTAACAGTTTGCCACCAGGGAACTGTGGACACGTCTAATGCGGTGTCTTTGCAGGCATTCTTTAGCAATCCGGGGCGTAACTATGAATCTCATAGCAAAGTTTTGTTGGACCCCCCCAGCTGAGTCTCTCTGCAGCAGCTGGCAGTGCCAACTGTGACAATACATGACATTGACCTAAAAGTTGAACCCTGTCCAAAAAGTACTTTGCTTGTTTGCGCTGTAAGAAAACCCCCCATTGCACAATGGGGCAATTTGTGCGGCCGCCCGGATCAGTTGTACAAAACGACCTGCGGCTCCCCTGCTTTACATTTGACCACCTGCCTGGTGCAAGGAACTGCATGTCCCGAGCATCGGGCCATAGGAATCACACAGCCCTGCTATGATCAGTGTACTTCAGCTGGAAGTGTGAGGGAGTGGTGACTGTACGCTAACCGGGAAGGACGGGTGGTGGGCTTTTCCACTGCAGTATCTCCCCACCCAGCTCTGGCCAGCGTCCCTTCCAGCTCCTGGCAACCAGTGACATCAATGGTTACATAGTATTTGAGGTTGAACTAAGACACAGGTCCATCAAGTTCAACCTTTATGTGTATGTGTAGTGCGTGCATGTGTGTATATGAGTCCCTGATATGTGTGTATATGAGTTGCCAGGAGCTTGGTGGGACACCCACCAGAGTGTCCCGGTTGGCTCCAGGTAACCAGTGATGTCACTGGTTGCCAGGAGCTGGGCGGGACGCCGACCAGAGCATCCCAGGTCGCTAAGAGCTGGGGTGGGAGATGTGTATGGCCCTTACACATCTCCCTACCCGGCTCTTAGCAATCTGCGACTCTCTGGCCGAAAAGGGGGCCAGAGTGTCCATCTATGCATCTTATCTGCACAAAGCAAATATTGTGCAGTAGAGCAGCCATGCCGCTCTGTTTGCTGCCCCCCTACGTCACCCAAAGAGATGGCGCTTGAGGAAACAACTTCAGGCTGCCTTGTTATAGGGATGGCATTGCACATCCCTTTTAGTGAGCAGTGCTTTGGATAAAAGTTAAGGTTGTAGTAGCAATAATATTATTATTATTAATAATAATAATAATAATTTTTGTCTGCATTAGACACAAGGGGTAATTTAATTCTGTAACAGAAGGTCAGAGGGCAATAAATGTAATATATCTACATTGCTAAGAAAGCTAAGTAAATGCATCTTACTGCATAGAGGAGGATCTGTGACTAGTGGCGAAGTGACTAGCCCTATTATAATGGAAACTTCACAGTTTAGTATTCCCTAACAGCCTAACTAATGGGGCCCCCTTCCTAGCCCAGGCCCCAGAGCACCCGAGTGGGCTGCTATGGCTATTGTTACACCACTGGTAAAAATCTGTAAAATTGTAGCAGTCGCCTGACTCTGCAAATTCTTGAATTAAAGCCCAGCTCCAGCAAAAACGTTTTATTTGGTTTTGGACAGAACAGAAAAGAGTTAGGCCTCTGTCACATGGGCAGTCTGATCGGGTTTCCCTATCAGTCTTTCGAATGCCCAATGCTAATCTATGTCTATGGGCAGCCGGGTCTAAATGGTCGGACGTCCGTTTACACCCAGTTGACTCTGGCTAGGTCCGGAAAAACAAATGGAACAGTGTTCCGTTTCGACAGACCTGATCGCATTGGATCAGGGATAATCTGATTCCTCCATAGGCTGACATGCAAGTCAAGATGGAGGAAAAAACTGGACGGACACGGCTGTCAATCCATATCGCTTCGATCAGGAGGGGATACGTGCACGAGTCCCCTCCTGCTCAGCCCATGTGAAAGGGGCCTTAGGGCTAGTGATGGGCTCGGGCTTGTTCGCAACTCCACGTGCCGAGCCCGCCAGGAAGCTGACAGCGCCAATCACAGGTACTGAGACATTATCCCGGTCCGCAGCTGCAGAGATCGTGAAATGTCTTCGTGCCTGTGATTGGCGTTGCGGCGCTGTCAGCTTCCTGGCGGGCTTGGCGCGTGGAGCTGCGAACACGCTCGAGCCCATCACTACTTAGGGCCTCTGTCAGGTTATTTTATTGTTCTGTGTCCATGTTGGGCAGATTTCCTTTCACTTGTGGTCGGGAAGGAATGGAAAACGTCTACACAGGGACACAGATAAAAACACATTGTTAGTATAGCGAGGTCTTCTGTTAATGTTTTCATCGCCCTCCAAGGCTTTCTACAAGCTGGGTCTATATATGTGGCAGTTAGGAGTCAATTAAGACCCGGAGCGGGGAGAGCTGATGCTTGCCACAAACCTTACAATCTGATTGTACAATCTTGTTTACATCTATCATCAAGGGATTGACTGACTGGATGCAATCTAAACAGATGCTTTAGTTATTACCTCATACAATGAGCCCTGTACAAAGATTGCATATTAAGATGTTAGCATAGGTTGGCAGCTCTGCGGACTCCTCGCGCTAATGGCTTGGAAGGGTCTAAGATTTACTATCTGCGCCATGTTTCTGTTTTTGGGTAACCAAACCTGAGGTATTGCTGAAAAATCTGTGTGGACAGCAGGGACGATCCTGACGTTGGTACAGCCAGCAGATTGCTGTGAAGGGGTATGGTTGCTATGGAATCCACCCAGGCCAGACAGTTACTGAGAAGCCAGGAACAGCCAGATATCAGTGTATCAAAAGCAATGGCAGATTGCTATGAAGGGGTCTGGTTGCTATGGAAACCACCCAGGCCAAACAGTTACAGTGAGGCCGGGAACAGCCAGATATCAGTGTATCATAAGCAATGGCAGATTGCTGTGAAGGGGTCTGGTTGCTATGGAATCCACCCAGGCCAGACAGTTACTGAGAAGCCAGGAACAGCCAGATATCAGTGTATCAAAAGCAATGGCAGATTGCTATGAAGGGGTCTGGTTGCTATGGAAACCACCCAGGCCAAACAGTTACAGTGAGGCCGGGAACAGCCAGATATCAGTGTATCATAAGCAATGGCAGATTGCTGTGAAGGGGTCTGGTTGCTATGGAAACCACCCAGGCTGAATAGTCACCGAGAAGCAGGAAATGGCCTAATGGCGGTTTTCAGCCCACTATTCTGTACTACAAATTTAAAAACATCCTTCCCAAATATTTTTGTTTTTTTTCAGACAGCAGCTCTGTCAGGTTTTTTTTATTGTTGTCCATGTCCTCATTGGTGGGGATCTCCCCTCACTTCCTGTCCCAGTGACACCAAAAGAAGACATAAATGGTGTTACCAGGACAGGAAATGAGGGGAGTGTGGATGTCACAGGGACAGGAAGACACAAAGGGTAATAAAAACCTGACAGATGTTCCCCTCCTCCCCAGAATCAGATAAATATTTAATCACTTCCTTTCCTCGTGACACCCTGTCCTTAGGACAGTAGGGAAGCCATACTGTCCCTACGTATGTAGTCCTATGCAGTTTAAATGCCCCCCCATGTCCCTCCCTTACATCTACACCTTGGGTGACGTCCTTTGCTCTGTCTTACCTGTTGCTGCAGAAGGTTGATGTGGCAGCTCTATTGTCAGCTGCCAGAAATACAGGGAGCGGTGGAGGTTCTGACATTTAAAAGATAAATAATGGGGTGGGGCTTAGTGATGGTAAGGGATGGGGCTTAATCCCCAAGCTGCATGCACAGCCTGGGCATAGGATCCAACGGGGCTGCAGGTGGACACACGGCTCGATCCATAGAGATCAATACAACCGCCTGCACTACAGGGCTGCCGAAAAATCGTTTAGGCCTTGTTAGGTTTACTTTTCTATAATCTGCTTCTTCTGCTCATTATCGTTCTTCAGCTTCCATTTACACATCAGGATAAGGATCCTTATTTTCCATAAAAGTTAGTTATTTTCAGCTGGAGCCAATGAGATTTGAAAGTTACAGTCACATAAAAATAGAGATCCTTATCCTTGTGTAATGGAACCTCATGTGTCCCGCGATGCTTAACTCTGTCACAACGCCCAGAACCATTTATCTAGTGCAAGGGGAAGGCAGCCTCGGCACTCCAGCTGTGCTGAGACTAAAAATCCCATCATGCCTCTGTCTTTGGGAGTCATGCCTGTAGCTGTCATTCTTGCAAAGCCTCTTGGGACTTGTAGTGCCACAATAGCTGGATGGCCAAGGATGCCTACCCCATATTAACAAGCTTGAGGTTAACCACGTATGCCACAAATGACACAGTGGATGTGATCAGTGATGCGTTTGGATGCATTCTCTGTGCTATTTGTTTTATACATGGTTCAGCGCTGTGACAACCGGATCAGCAGTCCTGTACTGTATGGGAGGAAACCGAGGGCCCGCCCACAACCTGGAGCAGCAGACAGCAGAGGAGGGGGCCATCTGCCAAGGAAGCAGGGAATAAGGAAAGTATAGTTAAGGTACCTTACTCACCATCCACTAGACAAAACAAGTTTACCTTTGATTTCCACCTTGAGCTATTGAGCACCGTGAGCAACATATTTTTTGTTTAACCGTTCCCCCCCCCCACCCACACATGATAGAAATGCACATTTTAGACCTGAAAACTGCCTAAGGTCCCTCAAAATTATATATTTTCTGAAAGCAGAGACCCCGAAGAAGAAAATGGCGGCAGCTGTCATTTTTATTGTTACAGGATATTAGTGCTACAGTTTATTTCAGAAAACAAATGCAAGCAAGTTAATTTTAGTGCATGCAAGCACAATACAATTATAGAGCACAATGGGGGGATTTATCAAAGCTGGAGCAGAAGTGCATGGTAACTAATCAGCTTCTCTGTCTCATTTTCAAATCTTACCTGAGCAAACTGAAAAGAGATGCTGATTGGTTGCCATGGGCAACTGCTTCAGATTCTGTAGGCTCCAGCTTTCATAAATCCCCCCCCCCCATATATATAATAAAAGAAGAGGTTACGTAAAGTAAATAGTCAAGCTTCAAAATGGCGTGCACCTGTGAAATGGCGAAAAACTTTTCATAGGTGACACTTTCAAAGCCCT